ATCCGTACAGTCGACGTCGAATATCGCTTTCAAATACAACTGGTGAAGACGTGAATCGGCAACAGTTTCCAGTAACCAGGCATCGATCCTTTTCATCTTACGCAGCCAACGTTTATGTTCTTGCTTCTTTTGCGATGTCTGAATACCACGTTCGATTGGACTAACCGAGGCATGATTACTTTCGTTTGGAATATCCCCAGAAAATGTCTGTTCTTCCTTTGCCAACGCTTTTTCTTGCTGAGCTCTTTTCGTCTGGGCCAGAGCATTGCCTCCTGGGTCACTCATTTCACAATACGTAGTGTGGTTCCAAGCTCCACGCGGCTTCTCGGTCCTGTCAGCCATACCGTGCGTCAATTGTGCGATGTTCAAATCATCCGCACTCCGGCTTCGACTCACTGTACCGATTGGTACAAGTTTGTTACTTAAAGCGCCCTCGACGAATCTTGCCTCTTTGCTGGAATAGTTCCATTCCAAGGTGTTGTAGTTGGCTTCAGCCGCGTCGTATGTCGACTCGAGCAAGCCAACCTGGTCTCTCAATGCCGACGCTTCCTCGAAGGCTTCCTCGATCTCTGCCAATCGAGATGTGAGGCTATCATTACGATACTGGCGAAGCAGTTTGAGTGCGAACGCCTCCTTAGCACTTGTCTCAATATGCAGATCCCTAAGTTCTTTGCGCAGCGCTGCCAATTTGAAGCGTGAGCCGAGCAATTCGTCGCGACAATCCCGTAACTCTTCTTGTTCACGATCAAGTTTTTCTGCATCTACATTCCGTGTTGCATCCGGTGCTAGATCCGAAACATTTCCAGCGACTGTGGGATGAGGTGGAGGGACGTGAAGGCTGATGGATGGAGCCGGTGGCGGTGGCGGCGAAGGAGGAGGTGGTGGAGGTGGAGGAACAAAGGTCGGTTCCACACGACGAGGCTCGTATCTCAAGTTATGTTGCCCGGCGCTATCTTCGCCATGCTCCTGGACAGCCTGCAGTGCCAAGTCATCAATTTGGTATTTTCGATCACCATCTTCCTTATATGAGTGTTCCGATTGTAATGTACGGTTCTCCGTGGAAATAAGCTCGGCACCGGCCGCGGGTGTTGATGAATGAACGTAAGAGACACTGTCTGCTATTTGAGCGTCAGCGAAGAGAAGCCATGGTAGACAGCGAAGGATGTACCTGGAAAGTGCCTATCATTATCCTGGATCGATTCCGGACGAGAAGAGCTATGTGCCTCTTGTTCAGACATTGAACATCGAGGTGCATGTTCGAAATTCAAGGGGTGAGTAAGAGATCGCAGATGCAAGAGGCATGGCGTGGCTACCACTAGCTAATGTTTGCTTGATGGACACTCAGACCCAGGCTGATGCGCAGCCGAAACACTCCACGCAGGCGGGCGGCATGTGGCTGTCCAGGGGGAGCCTATCGCGCTAACCAATTTCGATCGACCCAAGATAAAGCGGGGTCTGCGGACCAAGGGCCGAACGCGTCGTAGCAGTTGCCGTAGCTTCACCTTGGCGGCCCGCACTGAGACCCCTCCACCTCTCCCAGGGCTGGCATGCGCGCCAACGCATACATGGATTATCGCATTACCACTTTATCGCAAGCTGTAGGAGGGTCGCGTCGGCATTATGGCTGTCAACTCAGATGACTCTTCGTCTCGCAAGCTCTCTACCTAGGCACATGCGGCTCTGCGCGTCCAGTCATTTGACACACATAAGTAGTCATGGGCACTTGCATTGTACTTGTGTGGTCCTGAGTTACTGCGCTTTGGGTGACATGTGGCATCAGTTACGACATGTTGGATCCAACCAAACCCCAGCCTGAATGGAATCCCCACTTTCAGCGATACCTTTATCTACAGTTTAACGACCAGTACCAGCGGTGGTTCTGGAATCATCATGACGGTAGGCAGTCTCCTCGGGAAGCACGCACATTTACTGAAGGCCATCAGGGCAAAGCTGGGTATTCTTCGACTGGGTCCCGTTGAATATTGCGCCCCCTGCCCCTCAACTGCAACCCCAGTTGCAAGCCCCCTTTGTACCCCAAATCCAACTCCAACCTCACTACGATGTCCACCAGGCCTATACAAGTCCCTCACACCACCGTATCGATTCTGTGGCGGCCGCGGGACCAGCCAACATCCGTCAAGGGAAACAAGTCTTTGGCTCTTACGACGGGAGGAATGCACAGCCTGACAGTCACTACGAACAACTCGATTCTTGTATGCCATCAATTGTATTTCTCTTAAGATACGGAGCTAATCTCGCCAAGCATTCTACGTCAGAGATGCGGCCTTTTTCATCGAAGGGAGGGTATGTATTCACTCCATGACCAAGACAACACCTGACATGGTCAGGTTTTTTCGGTGCTCTTTAGCGAAGCTGCTGGTGCAAATGCAGTCAATGCACTACAAACCATTAACAATGTGACCGATTACAACAGTGCCATTTCGGTGGTGAAATATCGGGAGCTTGTACACACGCAAGTGAGGAGGTTTATTGTAGTAAAGCGCAAAAGGGAGTTTTGCTTTGCGGTGTAAGTCAATTCTTCATTTTCAGCCTGCACTGCTAACGATAGAAGACCCATCTTTACCTATCAGGGTAAAGGAACGAAGAAGCAGGGAGTCTCTCCTAACGAGCATGCCATCGCTTTCTCACATGGCTATACTGCTCAATTACTGCCAGACGAGGCCCCACTTACTAAACTTGCTATTTGTATCGTCATGAACAACGGCGAGAAGCCTCTCGCAGTCGCGTCGAGAATCTATTTTGGCATTCACCATCCAATCCAGTACAACGTCAAAGTCAAAGACCTTGGTGTTGTGCACCAAGATTGGCTGCCAACATTTATTGGCTATTGGAACATGGAGAACATCTCCGATACTCGGCAATCAAACGAAGTCACCAATGAGGCTGCTCAAGATGATGATAGTTAACTTGGCTCTGGCATTCCTTTTACTCAACCATACGTTTTCGCTTGTTTTCCACAGAATATCCACGTTTCGCGCTTTGCTTATATCACGCTAATGAATAACGACTTTCGTACTTGGCTTGAGATGTCTTTTGTTTCGGTATATAGCACAACCGCAATTACATCATCACTGAACAAGAGCAATTGGTGTACTTTCGATCGCACACGCTGATCTGTCATGCAGAACAGATTGTCGCATGATCATACCGCAAAGATGTCTACGTAGACGAAGTTCTCCATGGACGAAACTTCAGTCACAGCATGGGTACTCGTAGTCTAGATTGGCAAAGAGATGCGCGTATCCTATCAAAGTACACGTGTCCGATAGCCTTTCTGTTCGTACGTGTACTGAGTCACATATGCGTCGTCTCTGCTTCCAGAAACTTATCTGCCAATGGAATGTAGCAAGCAGAGTCGCTTGCCTCTCGAAGACGTCCTTATCATCCTTCTAATCAGGCAGCAGGTCACTTACCCACGTCAACGTGCGTGTGCGATTCCTTTCCCCCAGCAATCAGTCAGCATGTGATAGAGACATCGACGGCATTGGAGAGTAATCTCTCGAACGTATTCAGCCGTACATGGTTGAATTCAGCCGTACGTCCCGCTTCTAAGGCTTCCGCTTTGAATGGCTTACCGCGGCTATGATAGGTCAAATTTTGCGAGCCTCATCCCGTAAAAACAACCTTTAAACGACGGAACTAAAGAATGTACAAATCTGTCTTCTTTCATTGGTGGCACGAATATTTGACCGTGCCGTCGCGGCGCGAACATTCCGCCCACGTTTATCGCTTCATTCGTCCGCCATGTCAGACCGCGCAAGAGCCTAATGGTAATACGTGCCCGCCCTGAGCTATCAGCCCACGGTGCATTTCAATACTCAAAACAAGGCATCGGGCACATTCCTGTCCACGTCGCGCGGGGCTATAGGGCGATGGTCACTGGCACAACCGCGCGGGGAGCTGGATGATGCGCATATGCCGTGCGGCATGGGTCACGCGTACGCGTATGTATTGTGGTGACAGCCTTCTTACCGTAAGTAGAAGGACCTCCTACGATAAGTGGATCGGACTGCATTTCCCAGCCCTACAAGGCGCATTCACTGTTATTGGTTGTGACGCCAAAGAAGTCGCTTGTGGTGGTGAACATGTAAGACGGGAACTAGGTGGTCTTGCATGCCGTGGTGGGTCAAAGTGGGGTCGACGGGCCGTTGTGACTCCATCAATGTGGCAGCGACGACGCTGTGTTACCTTTCGCTATATCTCGACCGCGGAGATGGAATGATGAGCCAGTTGGGAATAAAGCGAGTTTGATGATAATGAAATTCGCACGACACAGCCAACAGTTTGCGGATGTCACTCCGAAGGCTCATCTCAGATACGATACCAATCAATACACTATTGGTGAGGTTTAGCACTCCTTCCAAATCAAGCACGCGGCTAGCGATCATCGGTAACGGCTGTCGTGCATCCGCCGGGTTAGTGAGACCGGCAATTATCTTTCTATCGGGCCGAAAGAAGGGCATCCATAGATTGGCCCTACCCTCGGGATGCGACGCGCTGGTTCTGACCAGCCAGGCTTCGCTCACATGTAAGCGGGCGTCCTGCTGATCGCCGTCAACGTGGGACATGTGGAGCTGAGCCCGACTGAGTGGTTACACGGCGCAGGCTGAGTGTAAGCTCGCATGAATCTTACTACTATTGGCGCAGTAGCCCGCTTGCCATCTTCAGCTGCTGATCATCGCGTTCAAGCTGCAGTTTCAAGTGGTCTCGGATCGAGCGGCATGGGATGTCTGTGAACCGATATATGCATTAAGATAACGGGAAGAGGGGACAGAACGACCAGCTACCGCCCAGTAAGAAAAGCCGGCAAACTTCGCCTGAAGAGATATCCGGAAATGAAGTGTACTCCTGTAAACATACGTCCATGAACTATACAGTGTTGGGACACAATCCGGTAACCGGTATATTTGCAAGAAGGATGGAAATAATAACCGAAGAACGATGCGAACGACTCTCGGCACGAAGGAAACGGGACGTTGTCATGCCACTGACTGCTTTCTTGTACGAGCTGCGGAGGGTCGAATCGCGATCGTAGGAGTGCTTTTACTTCGCAATTTCTTGACTGAGGAAAGCCACTCCTTAAGCCGATTGCCCGAAGTTCTCCGTTGTGGAAGGGGTGGTCGAGAACCAGGCTTGTTCATACCATCGGTAAATTGGAGATTGCTCGCATTGTTAGGAGTGGGCCGCTCAGCGGTTTGTATCCAGGGGTTCGTCGAAGTAGGCTGCGCAATAGTGTCGGTTAACGATTGAAAGCATGCACCATCCGCAGGTTTGGAGTCTGCAGAGGGTGGCATAGGTAAACCCAACAAGTCTTCCTCCTGCGCCGGGCCACAGCGATCGCGAACTACTGAAGCATCGGTCTTTGTCCGGATGTTGTTTGGCCCTTGCGAGGTGACTCGTGTCTTGACTTCCGGTTTATACCTTGGGCAGCTGATATGATGATATATCTTCGTGCTCTGAACACTGTCCTTCCGTTGAGCGGCATCACCATATTCCACTGTACAGGTACATGCGACTTCGGGCACAATGTCCTCTCCTGGATCACGGTCCACGGCTTTGTAAGGTTCCTCAACCATGACAGGTCTATCTGAGGGTGTCTTCGGACTATCGTCATCAGAATCCGTTGAGTGTGACAGCTGCGAGGATAGTATCGATGAGTCGTCCTCAAAACTCTCCTGTGGATCCTCGTGCAATACCCGAGAGTCTGAATCGTGGTAAGACCCGAGATTGCACCCCGTCTCGTTGACAGAAGCTGTCTTGCAATGTTTTGTTTTCTCGTTCTCGACGAGACTATCGTGACTCCAGAATTGTGCTGCTCGAAGTTCCCAATCACCCTCGGTGGGGCTTGCTATCCCGTAGTGTGCAAGAGTGTTCAGGTACAGATGCTTTTGCACTGCGTCTTCCTTGAGGTGCGTCAGGGACCATGCCCGAATCTTCTCTCTTACCAAGGAATTGTTTTGCATGAATGCAGCGGCGCTTTCAGTTTGTGTTCGTCTCATTGCAGTCGCATCTTCGGGTACAGTTCTGTATGAGTTTGCTGGATCAGATGATCGCCTCGCCAAACGTGAGGCAGCCGGCACCGGAAACAATTCTTTAGCTTTGTATTGCTCCGCTTTGGCCTTCCGTTTGGAGAGTTCGTATACCATGTTTCCAAACTCGCTTGCAGAGGTTGTGTTATTACTATCAGGAAGCCCATCTCCGTCCGGGAAGAACACCTCATCTCCCTCATCCCAAGTAATGCTACTGGCTTGTGTCCGCCGCACTTTGTCGAGTTCTTTCTTCAAAGTCTCGACCCCTGCCACCATGGCAGCATAATCTCGATCAACACGGTCAGGCGGAGGCTGAGCTGCAATAGCAGGAGAAATAAAAGTCAAGGGCGGTGGTGAAGCAGCAAATTGCGGAGGAGGAGGTGGGGGCGGTAGTTTCAAGACTTGACTGGGAGACAATGATCCTGGAGGACAAGGCGGTATGTGCGCGAGTGGCAGATGGTGTGAGGTCTTAGGATGTTGATTGTGTAGAGAACCGAGCTGTTCGTTGTCTGGCTGAGAGAAAATGCTGTTGATATCGAATTGGTAAAACTGGGTTTCGCGGGCGACGAATGTCCATTCCGCACCGGTAAGATCGCTTTCGGCTCGAAGGTAGTCGTCCTCGATCTCACCCAGATCATCTCGCTTTTGTCTGACGTCGTCGTAGGCGGCCAGGAGCGCTCTTGAAAGCCCCCCAGGATATTCGTTGACGAATTGACTGAGCCGACTCATGAACATGGCTTCTGCATTGCCAGCATCTATCCGCTTCTGTTGAATCTTGCGACTAGTTGCTCTCACTCTTTCGCGCTCGATCAGCAAGTCCTCTCTAATCGATGAAAGTTTCGCCTGGGAATCGGATAGGGTGTTCAAGCGTTGTCGATTGACATCTCTTAGCACATCGAGCTGCGTGGCTGGCTGTTTCCCAAATCTGGCTAGACTTCGCGTCTCCATAATGTCCCAAAGATTGAGTCATCAAGTTGCAAAGACTTTGAACAATTTTTAGTCCCTTGCATAACGTGGCGGCAGCTTCTTTTCGGCGGAGAAGGATAGCCCTTAGGGCAGTTGGCATGGACATCAGCAAAGACCATCCACTCTGACAGTACGTGTTGGCATACGTGGTCTTTGTCTGAGTAGTGCGGATGATAAGGGGTATCCTAGAACAGATGTCAGCCGTCAAGGCTTGCGCACGGAAGAAGCAGAAGCGGTCCGGTCGCTCATCATATGCGCTGAGATGAAGGAACCATTGAGCAAACAGATCGGAAGTCAGGCGCATGTAGGCACCCGGCCTGTCTGTCGTACGGATGAAGTGTCGGGTATCAGGCTGACACCAACTGTTTTGATTGGCACCGACCGGGTTACCGCTTCGCTTGTTTCGATACACGTAACCGCCCTAATGTCGGAACCAGCCGTATATTCCGGGAAACGACTGAACACTCACCACGCACATGCGTAATGCGCGAACAGATGAAACGCATATGCAGGCGAGTCTGGAGGTGGAGACAGCGATCACTCTCTCCAGTTGCGCACCACACCCTCTCCATGCTGTTTGGTCAAGACAGCAGAGCCGCATTGTTCGACACTTTCCATCTCTTATAAAGTTACGCTAGAGTACCGATCATGAGGTTGAATTGTGATTCACGCCACCGCGGCAATCGAGCTTCTATAACTGATCGGCGTACCACCAAAAGCTCAGGGCGTGCGGTGGAGATTAAGAAAGCTTTCCTGACGACGGCGTTGGTGTCCAGTAGCATTGTGCAACATGTCGACTATCAACTGGATATGGAGCCCGCAATACGGGGATTACTATTGCGTCACATACGACGAGTTTCGTGAGTATTGCCACGTCTGATCAAGCTTGAAGGCTCACCGAGTCCTACTGATTCAAACAGAACAACCGGTGTATCACTGGGCTAAACAGCAAGCCCAAGCTGAGACTGCCGAAGCCCAACCTAGGCGAGACTCAGGCAATCAATACGATGGCTCAAACGTGGCTCAGATGCCCGAACCTGGTGTGTCATTGTTCCGAATTGGGTAGTAGAGGTTTCGCCTAATCAGTAGTTCGTAGCTCCACAGGATGTTCGCGCCATGAGAGGCTTCATTCAGGGGACGCCACATACCGGCTGGTACGATAACCTGGACCCGAGTAAGCATATCCTAGCGAGAAACACTTTCTCGGCTGACTGAGAATCTTAGGCTACTGCATGAAGACTGGCAGCGAAGCTTATCAATTCTTCGTAGTTGGAAGAGTCTTTGCTATGCTCTACACCGAGGCCGCAGGTGAAACTTCACAGGCGAATCCATACGACGATGCATATACCCTCGTTCGGTTCGGCGAGCGCGTATACACTAACATACGTCGCTTTGTAGTGCTTGAGGCCAAGAGTGGTTTTGTCAAAGCTTGGTACGAACTAGGTCGACATCGCAAATAACTTTTGACTAACCTGACTCAGCGGCATTGGTACCTATTCCAATCGGGGCACCCGCAAAGGCGGTTGCAAACCATCCGAGCATGCAATCGTCTATCTCCAGGGCACAGATCCGGCTTTCTGTTATCTCGAAGGAGAAAGAGAAAGCGGGATGACCAAGGAAGCGATAGAGATCATACCAGTTGATCGCTCCATCAGACTCCGAAGCAATTCCCGCATACGTTTCGGCAAGACGTATCCGATCGAGCAGAATGTCAAGGTCAAAGACATTGGCCAAATCCATCCGAGTCATGTAGGCAGACTTCTTCAGTACTGGAAAGATGAAGATTAAGCCCAAAGCTGAGACTCTTACGTTCAGCATCCAGATTGTCGCGTGGTAATGTGCGCGGTAATGTACGTTGCCGTGCTCGGCCAAAGTTTGTGCCACTACCACTACGCACCTGGCTCGGATCTCCAGCAGCACCACTTCCTTGTTTCTCCAGACCTGTCTCCCCCTCATTCACACACAGGTCTTTATTTTTTACGAATCCATGAGATTGACAAAATTCGACGGCCGATTGAACGATCGCGAGCTCCGAGAGCTGGGTTCGAAGAGGAAGCGGAATACGGTAAAGTCGTACTGTCTTTACGATCTCTTTGCCTATCAAATACGTTATATATGACCAAATTGGAATCTCGTTCCTTCCGTAGCCTGTGGTGTGCGCCGTTACGTGACTTGTCTTTCGCTATAATCGTTCCGCGGGACGAAATCCGCATCCGCAGCCCCATACAGACTTCGGTTCGGCAAGCACATGTATGATGGTAGCGCTTCTGCGAGGGGGTATGCACAGTCGAAGCGCAGACGGGCGATTTTCTGGAGTGTTCGGTTACCCGCTATGAAATCCAAGGCTCACATCTCGGCATCGCAACCCGGCTTCGCTGCATATTGGCCTACGCTTCTGGATACCATGAAACGCAGGCGTAGCCCGTTGAGATGTCGCAGGCGTCGAAGGCGAGTGCGACACCATATCGCGTGGTGTGAAGGCGCCGTGTGTGGCTAGAGCGACATCATTAAAAGGCAAATTCCTGGTCGATCCAGCGGTTCGTTACGATGCGAAAATGTCATTTTGGTAACGTGTGCAAGGCGTCGGTCAAGAGCGCGCGTGGGTGAGCGAACTTGCGCGTATGTGGTGGGATGAGTGAGGAGCGGGAGGCAACATGGGAAGCTTGGGCGCAAAATGGGCCGGTACGCCAAGCCCTACACTACCCCACTCACCCGCCGTACAGTATGCCTTTCACACAAAATATCGCAACGTATGCGCACCGACATAAGATTGCACGACTGATACAAGTAACAGTGCATTTCGAGTCTATAGCATTAAGAACCTCCGTGGCAGCTACGGTAGTTCTCCAAGAAAAGATCTACTTGCGCTTCAACGACCATACCCAAATCCTTGACTTCAGCATCATGTTCGATGCTATAAGTCTTCCCATAGTGTATCCGCAGATCAGGAGAAAAGTACTGAGCCATGACTGCCTCAACACGGATAGCCGGCTTGTCGATTGTACGATCATCAGAGGAATGGCTCGTGGGAGGCATTGTCGATATGTAAATTAAGCCTTGGTTTACTGGTTTGCCTGTTGCCCTGCGGCTGTATGGCTGTATCGGTCTGAAGAAAGTCAGCTATAGCTTCTGTGGAAAGCAACAGGCGCACTCACAAACATTGGCTGGATGAGCCATTGTTCTGCACTACCACGAATGTTCGTATCTCGCTGTAAGCTTGCTCTTGGTAGTAGTCCGGACTAGAATTTCGAGAAGACTGGCCATCGCTGTAGCCACTGGCAGGCTCTGTCCAAAGCATGTTGAGAACCTACGAGTGTCGCCCATTAGATGAAGCTCTGCTACACAGATCACTTGAAGGCGCGAAAGACGTACCCTTCCAGTAGTGAAGAACTCTGATCTTGAGAGCCAATCTGGATGGTCAGCTTTAGCAGGTATGGCATTGAGACTAGCTTACTGGGTGTACTCTTCTTCGGAGATGCTTTTGGGGAACTGCGGTCGCTCGTAGACTTTCCTCTACTGCTGCTGGGCTGTCTGCGGTTGTGCTCGTCGCTATGGAGAGAGTCAGAACTTTTGGGGACGCGAATGGAGACTAAGACGTAAAGGCTATACCTTGGAATTGCAACATCGTAGGACACTGGTGTGAGCGACCGGTCCTTAACGACTTGCGCGTTATGCGACCAAACACGCCCCACTAATTCTTCATCATCGTCGAGAAGATGGCAATAGTCTCGTCCGTGGATAGCGGACCATTTCCAGGACGTAAGCTTTGCGGGGTCTCGATGACTGCGCGAGCATTCTAAGCAAAAGAATCCGTCATCAGCGGACATGTTTGCAAACACCACATCAGCTCTCGGCCTCTGCGTTCGGTCTCTCCCAGTCATGCTGATTATGAGGTTCGGTAGGAATGACAGCCTGGGCGCGATGGAGATGGAGGCAAGGTTGTCATGCACCATGTCCATGATATGCGAGAAGCCTATGTCCTGCTCATATATAATCTGTTGACTCGCGGCTGCAAGAAGCTCGACGAAGACACAGCCTAGGCAGTACACGTCGGCTGCGAAGTTACGATACTCAAATTCCAAAACCTCGGGCGGTGCATATCGTCGGGTCAACTCGGTCGGCCCTTCAGTGGTGTTTGAGCCTGTCTGCTTACCATCCTTAGCGCAGCCAAAGTCCGTATATATTACCGTGCCTCGGTGGATGAGTATGTTCTGTGGCTTGATGTCCTTGTGCCGAATATCTCTTGAGTGCATGAATGCAAGTCCACTAGCCAGACAGCCAAATGCTCGTTCGAGAACGGATGTCATCGCGGTGACATTTGTGCCAGACGAATCAGGCTCCTCGATCAAATCCCAATATGCCCCAAGGTATTTTTCCAGGTTTCCTTCATCGGCCGCTGGGTCGAGAATCAAACCGAACTTGAGTTTGGCAACAAATGTAGCGTATGCGCGAATGATGTGATGGTGACCAGCGAGACGGCGGATGATCGCGACTTCGCGCTTGAAGGCCTCCTCTTTCAGTGCTCGTGCTCGTGCGCGAGCGAAAGTAAATTTCTTGAGCGCAAATATGCGGCCAGTCTGCCTATCACGTACTCGCTCTACTATTGCGCTGGAACCTTGCCCCAAGACCTCGTCAAGCTCAAGCGGTAGTCGGACATCGTCTTCAAACACGTAGTCGTCATCCTCTTTGATCGACAGTTCCTCCCCAGATGCCGGCGGTAGCATGGAGTTGGGCTCAAAGGGAGAGATCAATCGTGGATCATTGCTCGAAGGTATCGCGATCGCAGCGGTGGTGATAGTGGGCGCGTAATCAGGGCGATTCTATGCTTGTCTAGTCAGTGGTTGATCCCGAGAATCACGACCTTGCTGCCAGTGCAAATGGGCCTACCGAGGTGTCAATACTATGAAGGTGTTGTTTGTAATCCAGAGTGAATCGGAAATCTGGGAAGGGTGAGTGTCCCAATCCTTCTCGCGGCGCAGGTGGGGTACCATGCACATGCAGCAACCGAGCCGCTTCTGGTTGATCCTGCGGGACGTCAATATTGTCAGCGCCTGCAGCCCGAAGTCTCGTGTGGTTAGCAAACAAGAGAATGTACTTTCGGTTCCAACCTGGGCCTGCTTGTGCTTCGCGTCAGCCCTTCTAAGAGTCGCTGCATGAACGTCAGATTCTGATGGACTCGCAGCTGATGTATTGTATTCGTGAATTTGGTGCTGTCTTTCGTAGACATGCATAGAACACATTCCAAAGACGTGAAGCCTCATTTCCTTCCTTTGCCCCTCGCATTGAATGTCTTCAAAGGGTCGACCTTGCCATTCCTTCTTACCACTTTCCTGCCCTTCCCCTTGGTATATTGCTTCTTCGCCCTTGGTATGTTCAGACCAACAAAGCCAACATCTTGCGGCTTCTTCCCACCTGGTAGGAGATAATCAGGAATGTGTCGCAAGTGCGGTTGTATTCTGGCGGGATGGTTGAGAGTCTGGTCGTGGCGGAGATGCGCGAGTGCTTCAGGGTTTTCTTCGAACTGTTACAATGTTAGTATGAACCAGCAGTGAATGATGCGGGTGAACTTACGTATCGCGACAGCTTCTGCGACTTGGCCAGCTCCATGTGGATTTCCTTGATACGTGCCTCGCGAATGGCGATCCTGGTCACCGACTTCAGGGCATCTGCGAACCGGTATCGGAATGGCTCTAATCGTTTCATGTCGAATTGGTAATCCTCCAGCTTTTGGCCCTCTTCTTGGTGCTGCTCTACCTTCTTCAAGACCTCTTCATCATGTTCGCATCCAGCAAACGTAGTCGGCTTATGCTTGCGGTATTTCTCCTTCGGGATGATGAACGAAATGGCCGTGCCAGACTTGCCGGCTCGTGCTGTTCGTCCAATTCGATGGAAGTATGATTTGTAGTTCCCGGGGAAGTCGAAGTTGATTATACAGCTGACGTTCAGGAAGTCGATGCCGCGAGAGACGCCGGAGTCGGTCTCCTTGTCCTTCTTCGCTTTCTTCTTTGGTCGCGACTCGTCTTGCACGCCAACGACGTCGGTTTCGTCCGAAGCAATGAGGATCTTATAGAGATCTTTGTTGAACTCCTCCACAATGTGTGTTCGGGACGCCAGCGGCAGTTCGGAGTTGAGTACGATCGCCTTGATGCCGAATTGCTCGAGGAAGAGTTTGACGCGGTATGATCGGTCGACGTCGCCAACAAACACGATACTGGAGGTATAAAGTCAGTGTATGTCTAAATTGTAGTTCATGTAGACGCGTCTTACCTCTTCCCATGTACCAGATTGAGTTTCATCATGGCGAAAAGCAGCAGAAACTTATCGTCCTCCGCCACCTTCAGAACGTATTGCTTGACCTTCTGCGAGTCCTTGTCGAGGTCCTGAAGCTTCAGCACAACTGGGTCCGTACAGAGCAGGCTGCCGAGTGACTCAACATCAGTTGAGAGGGTGGCTGAAAGGACGATCTTCTGGACTCCGACAGGAATCTCCCGGGCGATGTTCTCCATATCGTCTGCGAACCCGTAACCGTTGATCAGGTCACCCTCGTCTACGACAAGCGTCTTGATGTCGCTGACTGCCATGGCAGAGCTGTTGATATTTGCCCATGCCCTCGCTGGTGTTGCGACGACGATCTCTGGTTTGTCAGCGAGTGCTGCCTTGATGACGACATCCGATTCCTTGCCAGCGATGTTGCGGACCCGAATCGATTGTCCACAGTGTTGTGAGAGCGATTTCGCGACTGTCGCGATTTGTGAGCAGAGTTCCTTAGTGGGCGCCAGGATGAGCGATTGGCCTTTCTGTTGCAACGTCTTATGGAGGATGGGGAGAAGGTAGGCTCCCGTCTTTCCAGTCCCTGTCCCCGAACGCGCAAGGACGTCGCGTCCCTCCAGTATCAACGGTATGCCTTGGGACTGTACTGCCGTTGGTGATGCCCATTTTAGGTCGCGGATCGCTCTTAGCAGACGGGGCTCGAGTTGAAGTTCGGCGAATGAGGCGATTATGGGGACTGGCTCAGTGGCAGGTTTTGACTGAGAGCTCTTCTTCTTCTTCGGTGTGGCAGCGGTTGCAGTCGCAGGCGCAGTCGTGGTGGATGCCGTGGGTTCGGGCGAGCTGCGGGGCTCAGACTGCGACTCATCGCTCGATGTCACCTCTGGCACGTCGTGTTCGTTGAGTTTGCGCTTCGCCATCTTGTCGGAATTTGATTCGAATCTACGGAATGTGGTCGCGTCGTTGTTCGTCGAGGTTTGCGCTGCCTGCATCTACCAGTTCTGAACTTTTTTGGCGCTACTGCCGGGCGGCCTTGGCGCGACCCACAGCGGAGGAAGCGACTGCTGAACGCTGATGCCCTGCGTCGGTCGCGACTTCCACACACGCGACTGGGACTGAGCGGCAGACACGCGACACCGCAACGAACTGCAGGATCAAATATTCACACACTTTACGCCGTCACTACACAGAACTACATACGTCTTCTCGTTGATCATCGACTATATGGATGCGCCTGTTGGAAGCCCAGACACAGAGCATCAGCAGGCATCCGTTGCAACAAGGGCATTCGAGTACGACCTCGCCAGCTCGACCTTATGAACCTCAACCTCCGATCCCGATCAAGCCCTGATTCGTCTTGCAATAGTCGTCGCATGTAGCCTAAAGTTCTTCGTTAATAGGTGCCAGCAAGGAGCACACGAATACTTACCCTAGGCATGCCTCTTCTGCCACCATCCTGCACCATCTTCTCCAACGCTGCAACATACTTGGTGATCTCCTCGTTTCCCAGCTTCTTCAACGCCTTCAAAACAGCATCGATCGTTTCCTGATCAGGTCCTTGATCACTTGTACTCATCAGGTCGATGCCCGGGGGCGTTTGGGTGAACTCCACTGCCGTTGAATAGCTCGCGTAGTATGGGACTCTGTTCGCGTCGCAGCCCCAAACCAAGATGCTGTACTGGCACGTGGCTCCGACCAAAATCCCAGTCCCTGCAAAGTCGAGCACTGCTGGCAAGTAGGGATGCGGTGTATCGACGCCATATGTTGTAATGATTGTGTCGTTGCCTGGGAATTGGAATGAGAAGAGGTCGTTCACAAGTCCAGTGGGCTCAGAGGGATCGATCGGTGTCGGGTCGTACTGCACATTCTGCATTGCAGCATACTGAGGGTTTGACGCGAGAATCATTGACCATGGTTTGAAGTAAAAACCGACAGGTGGTGGTCGCCATGATCTGCCGTGATGGGCATGGTTGGTGGTATTGAACGTTGGAGGTATGCGAACCTGCACGCCTTCCGCACCCACCTTGCGCGGACATCCGTCTGGGGTGGTGTGCGCGATGGCACCGAGTGCAACCACGAGGAGTGTCAAGATGGAAAGCATGATGCTGGTGGAAGTGTGTAAACCAAGAAAACGTGCTTAAGTCTTCAGAATATATGCATTTGACATCCGAAGCTCCCGCTGACTGTCTACCTGATTAGGAAAGAGGCCGGGGTAGTTCCTCGTGGTCGTCGTACGGAGCCGAATGGACACGCCAACCAAGCCGTGAGTCTGGTCACTCGCTACTCACCACGCACAACAAGTACGAGATATTACTTGCTCTGTATTCGAAGACTCCTAATGTGCGCTGAAACGTCTTCCTTGGTAATCATGTTGCAAAGATATGTCGACAGCTACCGGCACTGATGCGAAGGGAAGCCTTACCTAGATTTTCAACGCTCGTTTCCTGGGCAAAAGGCCTTTCCAAGTACGACAGCCTCGTGCAAGCGTGAGTAAGCCCAATGAAGCACCAATGACGACTTGCTTCTCCATAGCGCGACGCCAACATAAACTCCTTGTACGTTGAACAACGAACCGTCTCGTAGATTTCGCAAAAGGTTCGTCGCATTCGCAGGGCGCAATGTTCCGATAGAATATCCTCAGTATCATTCTGTTCCGCTGCTTTGGATCAACAATTCTAACCACTCCTATACTATACACCTAAAGATGAGCTTTCCACTTCTACTCGCGCACAGGTACCATCTAATCTCACAGCGGGAGCTAGAGTAGATCCATGCTGTCATCACGAAACTGTTGGTGTTGAGCGGTAGAAACATGGCGGCAGAGGATGGCGGAAAGAGGGCCCGTGGAAGCCGGACTCGAAGCTTTAATCGCGCGAACGAGCGCCGACGACCAGAATGCAGTTGAAGGACATTCTCGAGAGGAATAAGCACGTATGTGTCGAAGGTATCGAGTAACGACAACATTGCGAAGATGCAGGTCGATCATTACCGTGGAGAAAGCCGGGCCACAGGGGTCGTTTCCTGCAAGCCGACTTCGGACTCCACCGCCAGCGCGTGCTCATTGGCTACCACTCCATCGCTTATCTTCACTCTCCCGTTTACCTCATCGAAACCACCAACCCCAACCTGGTGCATACAGTCCATCTGACCAAGGGCGCGCCAAGACATAGCATACGCTAACGCAAACAGGTAATTTTTAAAACATAGCATGCTAGTATTATGCTACTTAAGAAAATTAGCGCACTTAGTAATAAAATTTTTAATTTAAATAATTCTTAGATTTATTCTAAATTAATTTAGACTAAATTACACCTATATTATAATATAGAGCCTTCTTCGCCTATATTTAATACTAAGCCTAAATTTCTTAACCTTAACGCATTAGACCTAGATATCTATAAGAGATTTAACCTATATTTATTTAGCTCTAGTAAGAGTAATAATAGTAGTATTAAAGACTAGGTTAAGATATATAGTTAAATTAATTTTAGAATAATTCTAAACTTATTTAGACTAGAGTATAGTTTAACTTACTTCTAAAAATAGTAGCGCGCCTCTTTTAGAGGCTAGAGTTATTAAGTATACTATATATCTACTTTAATACTCTAGTATAGACTCTAGAGGCTATACTTATATTATTTAAGTTTTAAAAGTAAATAAGCAATATTCTTTAGTTAAGAGAGTATTATAAGATACTAAAAGTGTAAGTAGCCTACGCAGACTATTTCTAGATTAATTTAGAACTAATCTAGTATAAGTAGTTTTAATACTATAGAGCTAGTAAAGTAAAAAAGAAGAAGACTTTTAGCTTCTTTTTAAATTTAACTATTTTAAGATAAGTTTTTAAGTACTCTAGTATTAAGATGTATAAATATATTTAAAATTAATTATAAAATTTTACCTACTTATAGGTAGATAAAGACTTATATAAGATACTTAGGTAGATAAAAACATTTATAAGCTAAATTAAGTAGAATAAAGAGAGAAGAAAGGCTAGAAGCTACTTTAATAAGCTTTAGCGTTAGTTTAGAAATAGTATTTATACTAATAAAGAGAGTTCTTATAGTCTAGAGTTATTTTAGATAGAATTAATAGTATATATAGTTAAACTATTTCTAGAATAATTTTTAACTAATTCTAGTAAGTAATAGAGTCTACCTCTTAGTTTATTATCTATAGTAATTACGCTCTAGGTAATATAGAGCACTATATCTAAAGAGTACTACTAAGAATTAATATTACCTACTTATAAGCTTTTCTAGATAGTAGAGTAGAAGGCTCTTATAAGAACTATAATATAGTTAAGCTCTAAATCTTACGCCTAAAAGACTATAGTAAGTTTTTAAAGAATATTTCTAGATTAATTCTAAACTATTTTAGGTACTAACTATACCTAGAGTTAAGGTAAACTTATTTTATAAGACTATAATATAGTAATTAATATTATTATCTTTCTATATTTTAAGTAGGTTCTATACTTTATAGTAGTTTTAACTAGTATACACTAGTATATACTTTTTCTACCTTAGTAGCTAGACATAGAATTAGTTAAGAATATAGTTTATATATTCTAATTAATATTAATACTAAATACTATAAGATATAAGCTATTTTGTAGATATTAATTCTAAATTATTTCTAAACTATTTTAGCTACCTTTTTGTAGTCTAACTAGTTTACCTTCTACTTAAGGCAGCGTAGAGTTTTATTAATTAAAGAACTCTATACTACTTAGGTAAACAAAAACTACCTTATAAGAATAGCTACTACTTAAAAGTTAATTACATTTTCTCTAGGCACTAGCCTAGAGAGAGTTCTTTTTAAGAAAAGAGTAAACTATTCTAACTCTACTACTATAAGCGCTATCTAAAATATTTTCTAAACGTTTCTAAATTAATCTACGTAGGTATATATCTACTAAATCTTACTAGCTAGTAGAAGCTATATTATTATCTAAGTATAGAATAAGTAAGCTAAACTACTTATAAAACAAAAGACCTTCTAAGTAGATATATCTTTTAAGCACTACTATAATAGTTAGAGAGAAATTCTTTTTACTACTATACTAAAAAGTTATAAAAAGAGTATATAAATTACTTCTAAATTAATCTATAACTAATCTACGTAGTTATTATATTTAGGCGCCTTACTACTAACGCTAAGTTCTCTAAGATATACTAAAAGGCATTTACTACTTTCTTTTAGACTATTAAAAAGTATTTAGGTTAGCTAGTATAATAGTAGCATCTCTACGCACGTAGTTTCTATAGTATTACTATTAATATAGATACTAAGTAGATAGCTAGTAAGTTAAATTAATTTATAATTAATCTACGCTTATTTTAGCTTAGAATTTAGAAGGTACCTTACTAGCCTTAACTAGCTTAATAAAGACTAGAAGTACTACCTTAGCTGCTATATAAGATTCTACATTATTTACTTTCTTTACACTATTAATAAGGCTTATTCTAGTATACTATATATTAAAAATTCTTTATAGAGTAGAATAAAGGCGCTACTTACTATAGTAAGCTAGGCTAAGTATTTTAAGTTATGTAATCTACTTATTAGTAAGTAGTCTATATTAATTCTAGAACGTTTCTAAACTATTCTAAGAAAATACTCTAATACCTATAGCTAAAAAATAGGTAAAAAATAAGAAAAACTCTATTATTACTATAGAATTAAATATACACTATAGTAGTATATCTAGAGCTACCTAGAATATACTAGAATTCTATATAAATACTATAGAATAAGTATATACAAAGAGCTATTACACTAGCCTAAGATATAAGCTTTTAGTTAGTATTAGACTATATATTAAATTAGTTCTAAATTATTTTATAACTAATTTTATACAGCGCTATATAGATAGACTTATAAGATATATAGAAATATAAGATCTATAAAAAGTATAGTATTAGGCATAAATTAAAGTAAAATTTAAGTCTAAGTAGCTACTTTTATAATAATACAAGGTAAGAAAAGAGTAAGTATTTAGTTATCTATATATAGATTAATTCTAAACTATTTAGAGTATAAGAAATAAAAGAAAGAAAATAAAGAGAAAGATAATATTCTTAAATTACTTAAATTACCTAAGCTATTAAGATAGTAACCTTGCTAGTATCTAAGCTTCTAGCTAGCAGCGTAGCGCTCGCGTACACAGATATTCTAGTTATTACTTTTAGTCTTATCTTCTCTTAGAGCTAATTTATTACTAGCTCTATAAGTATAACTATTTTTAGATTAATTTAGAACTAATCTACGCAGAGAATACTCTAACCTAGATATAGACTTAGAAGAAGAGAAGCGTAAGCTTAAAAAAGAGCGTAAAAGAGCAAAACTTTAATAAGAAAAAAAGTTACTTTAAATCTAAACTAAGAAGGCTAAGTTAGAGCTCTAAGAAAGAGAGCTGTAGGTTTACCTTTAGTGTAAATTAATCTAGAACTAGTTAAGAGAAAACTAGACTAGTCTTAGAATAGTTAGTATAATTAAAGAGTTTTTAGCGCTAGATAAAATCTACTAAAATCTACCTTACTCTCTAATTCTATCTTTTCTACATTAAATATAGTAAGTAGAGTTCTTTCTAATAAGGTTTATCTCTACCTAACTAATTCTAAATTAATTACTAACTATTCTAGCCTACGTATATCTAATATACTACTCTTACTATACTCTTACGTAGCTCTATAAAGTTTAACCTTAAGAACTTAGAAGAAAGATATATTATCTTTTATAGAGAACTCTTCTATTATATAAAGTATAATAAAAGCTTCTTAATATAGTAGAGAGATTAGAAGTATCTCTATTAGAATAGGTGCTTAATGTAGTTAATTATATTATGTGTATGTAGTTGTTGTTCTTGTCTAAACGCTGTTTAGACCTAGCTTTCTCTAGTAT